TCTACTTGCCCATCAACAGAGGAATGGATAAATAAAATGTGATACATGTACATGGTGTGGGAAGTTCTTCTATGTGTTGCTTTTATTGGTTAATGAATAAAGAAGCTGGCTTGGCCTGTGATAGGTTAGAGTAGATCTAGGTGAGGAAAACTAAACTGAATGCTGGGAGAAAGAAGGGAGAGTCAGAGACACCATGTAGCCCCACCTGAGACAGATGCCAGGGACGGAACTTTACCCGGTAAGCCACAGCCATGTGGCAATACACAGATTAATGGAGATGGGTTAATGCAGAATGTAAGAGCTAGCCAATAAGAAGCTAGAACGAATAGGCCAAGCAATGATGTAAATAATATAGTTTCTTTGTGGTTATTTCAGGGCTGAGCAGCCAGAAGCAAACAAGTGGCCTCCTACAACTTGTACACAATGGAATTTTATGTGACCTTACTGTAGTATGAGGAGCAGCGGGCCGCATCCCACCACCCAGCTAGCTTTATACCTGAAATAATTACAAGGAAACTGCATTCTTTTGAACACTGCCTGGCCCATTAGTTCCAGCCTCTTATTGGCTAATTCTCACATCTTGATTAACCCATTTTTAATAATCTGTGTAGTACCACGTGGCTTACCAGGAAAGATTTTAACCTGCATCTGTGTCAGGTGGGAGAATCATGGTGACTGCTTGACTCGGCTTCTCCCAGCATTCTCTCTGTCTACTCTGCCTACCTATACCTAATTTTCTGTCCTATTGAAGGGCCAAGGCAGTTTCTTTATTTAACCAATGAAATTAACACAAAACAGAAGACTCTCCCCCATCACCTTACAAAATGAAATCATGCTGTTTACAAGTAAGTAGATGGAAATGGAAACTACATTAGTCAAAGCAATCAAGATTAAAAAAGAGCTACCATATTTACTTTTATATGAAGAACTGAGATTTCAAAGTGTGTGTGGGGAGGTGATGTTAGGGGATCAGGAAGAGGGTGAAGGAGTTGTGAGGGAAATGGGAAACAGAGAGGGTAATGGAATACTTGTGACAAGAAAGGAGAAAAGAGGGTTAGCTAGAGGTAGGAAGGTAACCAGACAGAAAGGGACAAGGAGAAAGGGGAAGGCTGGAGGGAGGGAAACAGGTGAGAACCAAGTATATATGTGTGAAGATGTTGTGATAACACCCAGTGCTTTATATACTTAGCTGAAAAAAATTTAAAAGAAGTGAAAGAGATACAACTAACAAAATTTTAATTATGCCCTATTCGTATGATTTAAGTAACAATATTGTTTTTATCATCAAGTAATTAAAATAATAAAGAATCTACAATCTAGCAGGTCAAGTCATGCTCCAAATTTTCAGTGCAGATGTAAGGTTTGGGTTTTAGTTTGGTTTGGTTTTTGTTTTGTGGGTGTTTTTTTATTGTCATTGTTGCTGCTGCTGCTGTTGTGATATATTATAGACATAAAACAGTCCAAACTCATGCAGCTTTGGGGAAGAACCCTGTGACCTTCTGCAGATGGCAACTTTCCTTTAAAGAAATAGATTCTGACTTGTCAGTGGGCCTTAATGGAAACTGAATATCAAATCATGGATCACCACAATATAACCTGAATTGCCCATTGTGAACTGAATGCTGTATGACCTAGTATGCTATATGAAAATAAGGCTTCACCAGGCCCATAAAGTAAAAGTTATATGAGAAGGTTGTTCAAATGTTCATGGTTCTCACTTCTAGTTAATTCATTACACCATCTTTCCTAACCTGTACCTGGCCTCATGGAGATTTCCCTACAATTGACTGACTGAGAAAAAACAAAGGCTTGTCTAGGTTACAAATGGGTGTGCATCATCTTCAAGTACCCCCCATAGCTGTAAGACCTGTACATGATGATACTGTGTTGGTTAGGGTTCATTGTCAGCTTGACAGAATCTAGACTCACTTGGAAAGGCATCTCAGTGAGTGAGTGTCTGGATCCAGTTGTCCAGTGAGCGTGTCTGTGTGTGTAGGAGTGGTATCTTGATTATGTTAATTGAAGTGAGAAGACCTGCCTACTGTGGGTGGTAGCATTCCCTAATCACAGGGTTCCTGAACTGAATAAAAAGAGAAAGCTAGGGAGCCTAGGCAGTTTGGATGCTCACCTTACTAGACCTGGATGGAGGTGGGTGGTCCTTGGACTTCCCACAGGGCAGGGAACCCTGACTGCTCTTTGGGCTGATGAGGGAGGGGGATTTGATTGGGGGAGGGGGAGGGAAATGGGAAGCGGTGGTGGGGAAGAGACAGAAATCTTTAATAAATAAATAAATAAAAAGAGAAAGCTAGCTCAACACTGGTATCCATTAATCCACTGTTCTGAAGTCTCGACTGTGAATGCGATGTTAGCAGTTCTCTCAAGTTCCTGCTGCTGCCACGTCTTTGACATGATAGACTGCTACTTGGAACTGCGAGCCAAATAAAGCCTTTCTCCCATGAGTTGCTTTTGTCAAAGCATTTCTATCACTGCAACAGGAAAGGAAAATTAGACAGGTCCATTCTTGAACAATCTCTAAGGGGAGCTGTGAAGTTAAGTTGTGGGTAGAACTTAAGCAGTGCTCGTGGTTGTTTCTTTTTCTCAGAAAGAAAAATTATGGCCAATACAAGCTATTACCAGTGCTCTCTGGTACCCTCTAGAATTTGACAATAATACCTTATTGCTGAAGATACCACATTTTTGAGTTATAGAACACGGAGAAATCAATCTGGTACTCAACTAAAGGCTTCATCGCTGCTCATTAGCTTCATAGTGCTCATAGCTGCCATGACCACTATGGGGAGGGGGAGAACAATTAGCAGCCCTACTCAGATGTGAATCCTGTGGCCTGCAATAATGACTGATCCTACACACAATATCCCCATTATTGTAATGGGGCATGAACGTTAATGGAAGTTAACTAACCACTTTCTGATGAATCTAAGGTTTGCTCCATGAAATGAAACCCATTTCTGGCATTAACGGGGCAAGAACTTGTGGCTATATAGGTCATACCATAGGAGAGAACTTAATACTGTTATTCTGCTAACTGACATGCTATTAAAACAACTCCTAATTACTTATTGCTATGCATATAGATTAGAACATTTCTCATCCTCATCAGAGAAACTTCCTGCAGTAAATGGCAACTAACATTAAGTGGTCAACATGCCAAGAATTAGAGACTGTGCCATGCTCAGCCCTAAAAATGGGACATCTATGTAACACTCCTCACCCTAAGGCTCAGGGATCATTGCAGAAGAGGGGGTAGAAAGATTGTAAAAGTCAGAGGTGTTGAATAACTTCAACGGAACAGTACTTTCAGGCTATAACAAGGCGCTGTACATGTAAACTCATAACTATGGTGATAACATGTGAAAGGCCTATGCAAGCTCAAGGAAGACAAATGTCAGCATGAGGGTAGTGTGGCCATGAAATCTCACCACTGCCTGGGGAGCTATTAGCATTTGATAGCCGCTAAGTGAAGGAGAGTCACTTTTCTTCGATGTGAGCAAGGCCCCAATTCTTCCAGTTAATTTAGCAATACAAATTGTACTTGATAGGTTTGAAAAAGAAGAAAACCTGAAGTTGGGTAGATAGGGAGGTAAGGGGGAAGAGGGTGGATCTGGAAAGAGTTGGGCAAGTAGGGGTGACTATTATCAAGATATGATTATGAAATTCTCAAAGTATTAATAAAAATATTTAAATAAGTAATAAAATGTTTTTTAAAAGAGAGAAAAGGAAAATGTCCATGTGATATATTGTGTTACAATTTATGTGTTTCCATCGATTTTGCTGAGTGGTAGGAACTTCAAAGAAACACAGTTGGAAAGCTGATAGCTAAGAATTCTGGGGACATATATGCACATAGGCCTTTCTCAGTGGACTAGAGAGATACGAAGGTATTTGTGACCCATGTGAACATTCACGAAAGGGTGACCACAGCAGAGAAAGGCCTTAATAATCAGTGGACATTCTGATCTGTTCAGTTGGTACCAATCAGCCTCTTTCTGCAGCTCTCTTAGGTGTTTTGCAATAAGCTTATTCACAGAACTGCCACTGTGGTAAACATGGGCTCAGCAACACAGGATTATATTCCCAAAGACCGCCCTGCTATAGCCACTACTGATTGTCCAATCCTTATGTACTGATAATGAGTCCAATGTATGGCTTCTTCCCTCAGAATAACCAGCCAGATACCAGGTGACAGGCTTATTACATTGAACTATAGCCATCATTCTGAAAGAGCATGTATTTTTATTCTTACTAGAGCAGATGCTCACTCTGCATATGAATTTGTCTTCCCTAGTTTCAATGCTCCTGCAAAGCAATCATCTGCAGACTTGCAAAATTCCTTGTGCATCATTATAGTATTCGACATAACATTGCTTCTAATCAGGGAACTCACTGTACAGCAGATGAGGAATAGCAACAGGCTCATGCTTGTGGAATTCACGCCAAAGTGGGATGGCTTTTTGAGGATTCAGTTACAGTACAAACTGGGTGGCATTTCCTTACAGGTACTTCCATATGAGAGTAATATTATCCAAGGAGCTGAATGTGCTGCGAATCAGTATCAAATTTATGGTGCTGCTTTTCTAATAACCGGATTTCATGGGTCCTGGAATCAAGGAGCGACAGCTCTATCATCTCTATTGCTCTGCTAGTAAATTTTTGTTTTTTTAAATGCTATATCCTGCTTTCAGCAGCAAACTTAACAGTGACTCCGGTGAACTGGACATTATAACTGCCACCTACAACTTCGGCCTCCTGATGCCTCTCACTCAATAAGACTTGTGATACTACCTTGTGTTGTTGATCCTTATTCATAAGGAATTGGCTGAAAACTATAGGTAATCTAATCCATGGAGGATTAAAGGCTCATACCCATCAAGAATGAAGGTTTAGGCCACCTCACCTACCCAAGAACCATTGTCAGTTGAGGTACTTACCAAGGGCAGAGAGAGAGTAAAGAACAGGTAGAATAATCTGTTGCTGCTCAGCCTCCGTCGACCATTTTCTGTTTGATAAGCCTGTGTCCCTATTGTTGACCGCAGCAGGAATGGCTCGAGACTGGCCAGATGCCCGGGGAATCAGGCACAACAATGAGAAGAGTTTCTTGATCTGGGTGAACGAGGAGGACCACACACGGGTCATCTCTATGGAGAAAGGAGGCAACATGAAGAGAGTGTTTGAAAGATTCTGCCGGGGCCTCAAATAGGTGGAGAGGCTGATCCAGGAACGAGGCTGGGAGTTCATGTGGAATGAACGTTTGGGATACATCCTGACCTGTCCATCTAACCTGGGCACTGGACTTCGGGCAGGAGTGCACATCAAACTGCCCCTGCTAAGCAAAGATAACCGTTTCCCAAAGATCTTGGAGAACTTAAGACTCCAAAAGCGCGGAACAGGAGGCGTGGACACCGCTGCCACAGGCAGTGTCTTTGACATCTCTAATTTGGACCGACTTGGCAAGTCAGAGGTGGAGCTGATGCAGCTGGTCATCGACGGAGTGAACTATTTGATTGACTGCGAACGGCGTCTGGAGAAAGGACAGGATATTCGGATCCCCGCACCTCTTGTCCATGGCAAACATTAACTCCCCATCCCCAGCAAATGAAATAAGCATATTTAATGGTGGCCTGTTCTACTTGCCCCTCACTCCCTGTCCTAGTAAAGATTCCATATTTAAAAAAAAAAAAAGAATAGGTAGAATAGTTACAGAACCCGGCAATAACCACAACTAGTTGCAGAAATGAGGGCCATGATTCCTGTGTGTGGCTCTTCCTTATTATAACGGTATAGAGAGCAAATATGTTTGATTCCATCCCTCCTTTATTATTTTTATTGTACAGTATGAGGTTTATTAACTTTATATCCTGCTATTTAGGTTACAGGATAGCAAAGGGAAGTGTAAACATCACCCAAGGACTTTGTATACTCTGGAAAAAGCCTCAGTGCATTTTCAGTGGTGCAGAGAATATTTGCATTATATTAAAGAAACAAATCACTCTAGTGGTATTTTATTTATATTTTAACAAATATAAATATTAAGTGCCTGTCCACAGTCAAAACATCCACTTTATTTGAGCTGGAAAACTCATTAAATGAAAAACAAAACAGTTAAATATATATATATACATATATATATAGGCTTTTTTTCTTTCCCATACAGAGAGGATTCAATTTTTCAACCAAAAATACAGTTCTCAAAAGAATTGGTTTGGACAAAATTAGTCTACTTATTTAAAATGGTATTTCTCTCTCATCTACAGTTTCAATATTGATATTTCATGGACCCGTGAGTAGGTTTTAACATTTACTTTCATTGTGTCCTGCTATAGTTCGAAAATATAATGCAAAGTTCCACCTGTAGGTTTTAAGTAGTTTTGTCATAAAATATTGCAATTATATATTTATATATTATATGATATAAATTATCATTGTTACATTTTATATTATTATATTTATTTCTTGTGCATTGGTGTTTTGTCTGCATGTATGTCTGTGTGAGGGTGTCGAATATGCTGTTATTGAAATTACAAACAATTGTGGGTTGTCATGTGGATGCTTGGAACAAAACCAAAGTCCTCTGGAAGAGAAATCAATGCTTTCAACTGCTGAGCCATCTCTCCAGCCTCCAATATATTTTTACTTTATGATTTGTTATTGTTATTAATCTCTTTATGATACTTAATAATATATTATACTCATAATATGTGTGGCATATATATTTATATGTTATATATATGCAAATACATGTAGGATTGATTATGTTTATGGCTTTAATAATCCACTGGTATCTTACAAAAACGTCCTCTGTAGATTGATAGGTGGCCACTGCCATATGATTTCTAATTCGCTGCTTTTTCCCCACTTCTGTGCATTTATTCCTACGAAACATGGGTTAGTCCTATTAAACTCTACTATAGTTTCTGCATAGCTAAGTGGTTAGACCTGACAATGCTTTGGAGTAGCCAAGTATCCTCTGAGATTTTAAATAATGACTTATTAAATACTGACAAGTTTCTGTGACCAAAACCCAAAAGTAAATTACTAATTTCTTTCTGAAATATGAGATCTTAACTCAAAGTGTGAGTGTTCAGCTCCAAAGTAAGTAAAAGTCCAGAAAGAATAAAATCAGAAAAAGTAAAATAAAACTGGTTTTATGACAGTTAAAAATGTGCCCCCCAAGCAAAGTATCTCTGTATAAGTGCTCAAATAATTACACACACTTTGAAATTTTTATGCAAATTTTAGTTTACAGATAAGTTTTTGTGTATTGTGGTGAAAGTAGTGTCTCAGAGAGTAGGTTCTTAAGGTTTGTGGACTCAAATTCCTGGAATTATGAAAACAGAATTTTTATTGCTTCCATCCTTTATATGTCTGGATTGTCAGTCACCTAGGAGAATCTTGAAATGTAAAAATTGGTATAAGCCATTTGATTGCCTAACTAAATAGCTCATTATTTCATTTTCCTTGAAAATGTGACTGATATTTTCATAGACACAGACTGTTCAGTCAGAATGTTATTTTTGTATTTTTTTATTTTCACACCTAGCTCTAATAGGATAAAAGGGTAGATTATTGAATCTACTCTGAAAAGAAGGGAGAATATAGATATGATAAGATAAAAAGATAGATTGTTGAATCTACTTTAAAAAGCAACTGCCAGTTTTAAATGTTTTACATTGGATTGGACTTTTGCATCTTGTATATAAATTTTGTATATTGATATAAATTTGAGATTAATTTTGTTAAAACATACTTTATATACATTTCCACTCTTGTTCATGGTATTGTACCTATATAACTCATCTAACAATGTAATACAAATTTCTAATCTTTGAAAATTATTACCCAATTGTTTAGGATAAGAAGAAAATATAGATTAGTAGTTAGTCACGAACTTGTAGTCACATTAGGTATGTTTTCAAGGTCAAACAAAGGTATATTTTAGATAGGTCATCTTCAAACACTTCAGAGATCTACTAAATATGGCTTTTAAGATGTTTTAATAACCTAGATTCTTTTTTTGGCAATGAGACTTGTCTATTCCTGGCAGCACCAATCTACTTCAGAGAAGATAATGGGCATTGAAGAAATTCCACATGGAGTTTACTTTCTTTGTGTTGAAAATAAACCACTGGGAAAGAAAATGGCCTTGCCTCAACTGCTGACAGTATGCTATCATAATTGGACAAGCAGAACACAGAAGAAAGTGACTGACTGGCAAACATTATCAAGACACATTCAGATAAAATATTCCATATCTATTCTATCTTGGTGAGTCCCAAGTCTTGTACCTAATTTACTTTCTATCATAACTTGATTTCTGTGTCAGGTAAACAAGAAAAACTATAATATATTTAATATTCAACTCCATAAGAGACCCAAGAAAGAAATGAGTAAGCATGAGCAAGTGACTTCCAAAAAACATGTGAGAAATCACAGAAACAGCTGACTGCCTGGTCAGTCACCCAAAATTCCTCTACAATGTTTCAGGACATCGATCTTCAGACTACAGGCCTGGCATACTCGACAGACTATTCTGTGAAGCATGATATACTGAAGGGCTGTTCCTCCTTGTCTTGACAATATTTGGCAGTCAGTCACTTTCTTTTGTGTTCTGCTTGTCCAATTCAGAATGATAGTGTTCAGCTCCCTTGTTCCCCTTAAAATATTTTAGAATTTTATTTTGTTTTTGTGTAGCAGATCAGAAAAACAAAGCATCCAAGCCACTAGAGAGTTTACCTCTATGAAATCTTCAGACTGAAAAGAGAGCAAGTTCCTGTCTCATTCCGCTTTATAATCCTCTCTAGTGCTGGGATTAAAGGCGTGCACCACCACTGCCTGACCTGTAGGGCTGGCTAGTGTGGCTGCTAGGATTATAAGTGTGGGCCACGACTGCCCGGCCTGTATGGCTGACTAGTGTGTCTGTTTTGCATTCTGTTCTTCAGGCAAGCTTTATTTTTTTAAAATATTTATTTATTATGTATACAATATTCTGTTTGTGTGTATGCTCAAGGCCAGAAGAGGGCACCACACCCCATTACATGTGGTTGCTGGAAATTGAACTCAGGACCTTTGGAAGAGCAGGCAATGCTCTTTTTTTTTTTTTGGTTACTGAAATACTTTTTTTTAGAATTTTTTCTTTTTTTCCGTTTATTTATTTAAGATTTCTGTCTCTTTCCCGCCACCGCCTCCCATTTCCCTCCCCTTCCCCCAATAAAGTCCCCCTCCCTCGTCAGCCCAAAGAGCAATCAGGGTTCCCTGCCCTGTGGGAAGTCCAAGGACCACCCACCTCCATCCAGGTCTAGTAAGGTGAGCATCCAAACTGCCTAGGCTCCCACAAAACCAATAGTTGCAGTAGGATCAAAAACCCATTGCCATTGTTCTTGGGGTCTCAGTAGTCCTCATTGTCCACTATGTTCAGCGAGACCGGTTTTAACCCGGGCTTTTTCAGACCCAGGCAAGCTGGCCTTGGTGAGTTCCCAATAGAACATCCCCCTTGTCTCACTGTGTGGCAATGCTCTTAATACAAATGAACTATCACTACATTTGTGTATGTGGATATGAGTAGATACACATGCATTCCCACCATATACATGTAATGGTACAGTTATGATCTTGGCCTTGGTCAGAAAAATTTCTTTACACAGTGAGAGATGATCAATGTAGAGCCCAACCCTTTGCCCGCCGGCCCCCCAGCCCCTCAACCCCTAGGCCCACCATTGCACTCATGAACTCAGCATCTGTGGTTACCTGCAGACCACTGGGTCCATCAACAACCCATCATGGATAGGGAGGGAGCTCATGAGCCCTTCCCACCTTGAGGAGCTTTGGGTAATTAATGGCTGCTTGGAAAGAAGAAATTATTTTTTTTTTCAGTATTTTTTTCAGGAACGTAGTCACTGGTAATTGCTTGCCCTCAAGTAATTAACAACACACATGCTCATGTAACTACCTAATTTAACTCAGCGGGTTACAAGAAAACAACAATAATAAAATAAAGACATGAAAGTTAGAGGGGAACTCATTGAAGAGAAGGGGTTCCACAGCAGTAGGAAGGAGATGAGAGGGGGTAATGAGGAGAGGAAGTGACCAAAATACATTAGATTACATGCAAGTGTGAAATTGTTTAAAAGTAAAAAAATAAATTTTAAAAGGGTATAACTATGTCAGGCAGTGGTGGCCCATGCCTTTAATCCCAGCACTTGGGAGGCAGAGGCAAGCGGATCTCTGTGAGTTCGAGGTCAGCCTGATCTACATGAGCTAGTTCCAGGACAGGCTCCAAAGCTACAGAGAAACCCTATCTTGAAAAAAAAAGTCTAGCCACAACAAGATATAACTATTTATGAATAGACATTTTTACTGATTTTACTTGATTTTACTGATTTTACTTGATGCTGTCAAGGGCACTAATGGAATGTATACTGAGTTATTTCTGAGTCTTAGACATATAATACCTCAATGTTAAAACATATTTTTTTGAGGGCCAGAGAAATGACTCAGCAGATAGAGGTGCTTGCCACCAAGCCTGTTGACCGGAGTTAGATCCCTTAGATCCACATGGTAGAAGGAGAGAACCAGTTCCCA